ATATATATATATATATATATATATATATATATATATATATATATATATATATATATAATAAAAACTTTCGACCAAGCAGTGTCCCGTGACACCACTTAGGTCAACGTAAATCCGCTCCTGCAAGTTGTCACCCAACCACTACTATCTATTTGACTGGGAAAATCAAATCGTACTTATAATTTTTACTAGATTTAGTGTACGCGCTTTGTGCATGTACCCTATATAAAAAATATAAACTTTTTTAAAAAATAACATAAATAATACTCAGATGTATCTCTGTTATAAAACAAAGATTAACAAAAAAATTACAAGTTCCTAAAAATAATAAATGTCAATCGTATGTTTAGGGTTTGTATCAAGTGTAGTGGTTCTTTCTTCCAGTTTATTTTTATTAATTGCTTCATTGTGCAAAATTATTATGGAGTAATGTTTGATTAAAAGATAAAGAGGTTGTTCGATTTTACGTATGATATGAGACCTTGCTAGGTATATGTGCTTTTATGTCATATTAATTTTTTAAAAATTTGAGTTTGATAGATTATTGACAATTGAAAATATTTTATTCATATTTTACTTAATTTATGGGAGCACTAACTTGTATCCTGCAATTGCAACTTGACAAATACTAATTGTTTTTATAAATAATATCTCCATCATATCTTGCTCTACATATAATGCCTTTCTAAAGTACTTTATATTACACATGATGGATTACATAATATAATCAATTTTATTCCTATTAAGTGAGATAAAATTATACATCTTTTATTAAAAATAACTTTCTTATGTTATATGTGTAAGACGTATACTAAGATTGTACTTATTATATTGACTAATTAGATGAATGTTAAGACGAATTAATTTATCCTGCTTATAAGCTTAGTCAAAAATATTCTTATTCATTGCTTGATTTGTATTGTAATTGATTAGATTAAAAGTAATAGCATATAAGACTAAATTTAAAATATAAAAAATAAATAATTAAAATAACAAACAATCTCGGATACATGATTAAGATGAGAATAGATAAGCCATAAAATATACAGTAATGCATTAATAAATCACAACAAAATAATATTCTTGGAACCAAAAAAGAAAATGTAAGAAACAACTTACGATTTTTTTTAAAAAAGAAAGAAAGTCACGTACACACACAAAAAGTGAACAACAATTAAATGGGAAGTCAAATAGTATTTGGTTCAAAGTCCATACAATTAGGTTGCCTAATTTTGGTAAAATCTTATTTGATTTTGAAATTCTAAATTTTAGACCTTTTTACATAGTTTAAATAAGGGAGTATTTAATATACAAAATATAATTAATTTTGAAGCCTAAAGTTTAGGCACATAATTTAAATTACTATTTTCTCCAATATAAAATATATTTTTAAAGGATAAAAAAAACGAGCGACATTTCGCTAAAGGCCTTCATGTTTTTAATATAGTATAGATATAGATGACTCTAGGAATTGAAAGTGTTCCATCCAAAGATTTACATGTTAATGAAGCGTACAAAATAATGTGTTTTTCCTATGCTATTATTTTTTTTTACAAATATGTTATATTACATAGCTCGAATAAGGAAGGATTTGATACATAAAATTTAAGTGATTTTGAAGTCCTAAATTTTAGGAAATTAATTAAATAACTATTTCTAAATATTAGAAAAATAATTAAATTACTATTTTGTCCAGTGTAAATTTAAATTTTTAGGGTAAAAAAGATAAAAGATATTTCGCTAAAGGCCTTCGTGCTTTTAATATAGTATATAGATTGAAATCATCAATGCACTTCTCATAGCGAAGACATAATCTTATGTCTTGTATATTCTTTACAATTTCAATCATCATCTTTTTATCACACTACCATACTAAGCTTACGATACTTAGTCGTCGTCTACATATATCCAAGACTTGTCAAATATTCTTCTAATAACAACTCACTAACATCTTATTCTTTTATTCAACTCTGAACAACTTATGCAGGCGTAATGCTGATTCTAACCTTTTACCATCATTCGACCCTATTTTCAGGTCGTATACTAACTCTTCTTAACTGTAGGCATGAATTATACTAGGACATATACCTATCTTTTATAAGAGAAATTAGAATGCCTAACCCCGAGCCTTCTAAACATTCAAGAAATCATGTCAGGCTATACACACTCGGGGCGAACAACATATACATAATATGGTAGTGTAACAACCCAGCCGAACGTTTCATGAGTTACCGCTCCGTTTTCCTCATTTCTGCTTCTTATTGCCTTGTTCAGTTGTATTTTGTATTACCGGGTTGGTTGGTTCGGGTTCGGAGAGGTTTTGGTAAGGTTTGAGATACTTAGTCTCTTTTGGAGCAAGCTTAAGTTGGAAAAGTCAACCGGATGTTGACTTATGTGTTAAAGGGCTCGGATGTGAGTTCCGATGGTTCGGACAATTTCGGGAGGTGATTTGGGACTTAGGAGTGTGATCGGAATGTGTTTTGGAGGTCCGGAGTAGATTTAGGCTTGAATTGGCGAAATTGGAATTTTGGTGTTTTCCGGTTGATAGGTGAGATTTTGATATAGGGGTCGAAATGGAATTTCG